TTGAAACAATGCAGATTTAGAATTTTTTGTGTATTTTATGCTTTTTAGATTATTGGTAGGTATTTATAATAATCACAAATGATACTTTTTATTTCTGCTATGGATTATTATTAATTTTTTCAGTTCTGATTTTATTGCATCTTCTGTTTTTCTTAGTGTAGAGGTTTATTTTTTTAATGCATTTCTAAAAGTCGGTTAGCATTTGCACTTTTCTACTTTCTATTTCATTTGTCTGTGCTCTGATCCTTATTCTTTTATTCTAATTTTAGACTTGTATTTTTCTTGTTTATCTGGCTTGTTGAGATGCATTGTTTAGTTGACAGCTTTTTAAATGTAGGTGCTTATTACTGTCAACCTCTTTTTTATTACAACTTTTGCTGTATGTTGTACGTTTTCATATGTTACGTTTCTATTTTTAGCTTGAAGGAATTTTAACATTTTCTCCTTGATTTCTTCCAAGATCTATTGTTCTTTCAGTAGTATATTTTTCAATAGACATGTGTTTGTATGATTTCCAGTGTTACTTTCATTGTTGCTTTCTAGTTTGATTCCATTATGATCAGAAAACTTGCATGCCACAATTTTGATGTTTTTGACTTTGATGAGACTTATTGTGTGGGCTTGTATGTGGCATGTCTTATGGATAAAAAATGTGCATTGTGAAGATATTGAATGGAATGTTTTTGTAAAGTTTGCTAGGTGCATTGAGTCGACAGTGTAGTGTAATCCTCTTGGTTCGTTGATGATTTTTTTTTTTTTTGGTCTGGATAACCTGTCATTCATCAAAATGTTGGGTTTTAACATTATCCCTTACTATCATTGTACTGGAACTTATTTTTTTGTCTGTGTATCTAGTAATGTTTGTTTGATAAAATTGAGTACTCTTGCATTAGGTTTGTTTATACTGACAAACATCAGATATTTTTGTTCAATTGATTTTTTCTTTCTTTGACTTTTTTTTACAGTTATTATTTTGTAACATAAGTGCAGCTACTCTGGCTCTTTTTGATTTCCATGTCACAGCTTTTATGTCACTTCACTTTCACTTTTAATGTGTGTATCTTTAATGTTGAAGTGAATTTCTTTTCCCTTTTATTTTTTTCTGCCAAAGCAAGAGGGGCAGTTGGTATGATAATCACAACTTCTGAAACAAAATCTTTATTGTAAATGGCATTTAAAATTTTTTTAAATTACTTTCCATGGTATAATTTTATTGATTTAGGGATTCCCTGCTGCATCTCCTCATCCTCCTTGCTCTTTGTTTTCCCCATAGTATTACAGTAGTATAGTTCTTCAGCAACTATTACAAGTTTAACATTCATCTCAGGTATAAGCAATGGTAGAAAATCTAATATTAAATTGTCAAGTATATTTTGCGATGTCATTGGGAGTTTTCCTTTTATTTGGGAGTAGAGCTGCATACTGCAATGTATTTTCACTTCCTGATATGGTAGTCTCCAGAGAAAATGAACATCTACTCCATGGACTACTACTCAGCCATTAAAAAGAGTGAAATTTTACCAATTGCAATAAAATTATCTCAAATAAAAAACTACTATGCTTAGTGAAATTAGACGGTACCTGAAGGACACATGTCATATGTTCTTTCTGATACCAGGCAGCATTCAAGCAAAATATGAAACAGATATTTAGGTAAATATATATTCTCACTGGTATACTGTATAATGAAGTGAATTCTTATAGGCACCATATTTTCAGATCTTATTTTTAAAACTTAATTCTTCAATCTGTATCTTTTAATTGTGGAAATGATTTCATTTTGTTAAGGTTATTGTTGATAGTTAATGACTTAATCCTGTCATTTTTAAGGGCTATTCTGTTTTATACGTTCACATGTGTCCCTGATGGTTCTTTCTTCTCCTTTTATATGTAAGACTTTTTTGATCATTTTGTGTGGATCTGGTGTGGTTTGATGCAGATGGGTTTTCTCAGCTTTTGTTTGCCATTTATTCATTGCCATTGACTTTAATTTTTCCTCATTTGTGAAACGTTATTGTTTGGGTTGATGAAATAAAAGGCAAATCACTGTTGGTTGGGAGCTTTTTTCCCAGGTGTGAATATGTTGTTCATTGCTCTTTAAGAGCAATGAAAATCACTGACACTTTAGTGTGTATTTCTTTCAAAGTGTCCTGGTGACTTTCTTTTGCAGATCTTAGTGTTCTTTATACTGTACTTTTGAGAGGAACTATACTGTGTCGCAGTGAAAATACTTTCTGATCATTTGGGGAATCTGTAGGTCTTCTGTACCTGGATGTTTTCATCTTTCTCCAGCAGTTATTTCAATGTGCAGATTTTCTTCTAACAAGCTCTCTCTTGTAACTTTTCCTTTCAAAAAAAAAAATCTCTATTGTAATGTCAGCATCCCATATGACTTTCATTGCACATCCTAGCTGCTCAGCTTCTAATCCAGTTAACTAATAGTGGCTGGAGAAAAATATTGCAAGATGGCTCAAGTGCCTAGGCTCCTGCGACCGAAGTGGAAGGCACAGAAAATTCTGCCTCTTGGCTTCCCCCTGGCTCCACCCAGGCCATTAAGCCAACCTAGGGAGTGAACTAGTGGATGAAGTTTCTCTTTTCTGCTGTCTTTCCTTCTGTCTGCAAAACTCTTTGAAATAAATAAGTAAATAAATAAATCTTTTACAAATAAATAAGAATCCAGCAGGCATAAACATTGTACATATTTATGGAGTATTATGTGATGTATAGATACAGGCATGAAATTGGCTGAAATATTCAACCAAGGAAAATATGTTTATCCCTTGAAATGTATGAAATGTTTTGACACCTACTTTCAATCACTACCTTCATGTTATTTTGACTGGGGTAGGGAGAATGAAGTTAGCACTACTGTGGCATCTCTGTCCCAATACTAGATCACACATGGAGTCCACGTTTTTTTCACAGCAGTAGAGCACCAAAATCCACTGTAGTGTGGCCTGCTTGCTTCTCAGGTGGACCTGCAGCATAAGGCTACTGAAAACAATCACAAACAATGTTGGTTGGAATTCAGTACCAATAAGTGAGGACCACGTATTTCATTTGGAGACCATAGCAGGCCCAGGAGTTTTAGCCTCAGATCTCCTTGGCAGGAGCAGATTTTCTTTTACCAGTGGTCATTTTTTCAAGATCCCAGATGCAGTCCTGTGCACACTTTGGTGAAAGGGAAGGAGGGCAACCTCCTGTTAAGTCCCCTGGAGAGCACCTCTGCTGCTGGAGGGCTCCCACGGTATTGAGGGGTGTGTGACAGCAAGGGCCTCCATCCCTTCACCTGTGCCTCTGTGATCATGCAGTGAGTGCAGGGATCCCTGGTATTTAGACAATACCCTTTTCCCCACCTTGAATTCTACAATCTGTGTGTTCTTTCCTCTGGAGTACAGGGGACTATTGCAGATGATGGATGGGCAGTTGCTACCGGTAAAGAGCCAAAATGACTGACTTTAACTTTGATCTATCATCAAAGCTTTCTCCTGGAAGCTGCTAGCCTTCTATAGACTTGGGAGTTCCACAACAGCTATGTTATACAGATTCTGCCAGTGCATCCAGGTGGTGAAATGGATTTTTTGTGTTTACTGCTCTAGCACTGCTTGAAAGCCATCCAGTTTTGAAATACACGTTCACATGGAGTTCCGGCAATTCTGTAGTGCAGATTACTATAATCCCTAACTCTTGGGAAATGAAAATTTGACAGTTTATTTACACTTATGCAACTATTTGACTTATAGTTTTTCAAGACTTGAATCTCAAGTATGCCTGACCTGGACATAGTAAAGATTAAACAGTTGTGGGATTCAGAGAAGCAAAGCCCAGTGTAGCATTCAGTTAGTATGGCAGTTCATCAGGACCTGGGGTCCAGAGAAGCAGTGGAGTGTGAAATGTACAAAGATCAAGCACCCGACAAAGAAACCTTGATTCCCAGTTGAACACTCAGAAAAGCAGAATGCCAAGGAAAATTTGAGGAGATACAGAGCAGGATGTCTAGGAAATTAAGAGATCCATTCTTACTCTAATTCAAGTGGAAAGTCTGTGGTTCAAAGCACATTCCTCGTCTGCTGGTCTTAAAGACAGAGCGTTCTGAATTCAAGTTTTTAATAGGAATACAGAGTTTAAGCTCATTTGTTTGTGTTTTCCTCTGATTATAATCATTTGTTAAAGTTGCACGTCTATCTGGTCCTATTTCATGTATATACAAGATACATACTTCGGAACACACTTTTGGGAACTTCTGCCATACTTCAAGAGCTCAGGAGTAACAGGGACTTGTGGTTGGCAATTGCTATATGGGACAAAGCAATAAAACTTTTTTTTTTTGGTCTGGACAAAAGCTGTGTGGAATCAACACCACCATGCTGTATGGGAAAATAGAAAAGTGTCTGCTCCCTCCACTCAGCTGGAAGCTGGTGGGTGCTAGGCCCCTGGGCAATAATACAAGGATTTCTAGCTTTCCATCTCTTTCCCTGGTATATTGAGTTCAGAGTTTACACTGTGTTTCTATGTGAATATGGACAGCTAGCATTTACCAACACATCTGTCTCTATCTTGTCTTAAAAATAAAAGAAAAAAACAACCTGTAAAGTGGGGTTATAGAGGTCAGCCAAGGGTAGATTTGAGACGTTTGGGTGTGTGAAGTGGGTATTTTAACAATCTGGTTTCTCTTTTACCATATTTCATTGTGATATTCAGAACATATTCATACAGTTTAAGATGATACATTTTTAAAATGATTTTTTAAAAAAATTATTTCTCAAGATACATGATTAGGCACAGGGGCTTCTTGCTCTAGCTCTCTTTTTAACCCTCTTCTCCACCCCACTGTTTCCCCTAGATTCATGTTTTCATCTCTTATTTCTGAATTACTACTTTTTATATACTTGGTATCATATATACATATGTCTATATTCAATTTTTTGATAATCATGTTTAGCCCATTGATTTTATTTTCTTTGGCTAAATTTTACTTGATTTATTTTTGCTTTTTCTAGGTAATCGAAATATCACACAACTTTGTAATGAATTTGGATATCAGAATAACATGGATATAGAACGACCTTTAGTTTCTGCTCAGTATAAAAGAAAACAAGCCATGGTCATCCCATTCATCATACAGTGTGGTGAGAGTTGAATTCTATTCTAAATAGCAAAGACCTATTATTAACTTCTTAAAAGCTACAAATCCTAGTGTTAAGAAATAATAGAAAAGGAGGCAAAAGATGTAAGATATAGCCTTACTTTCTGGGAGGTTACAGTTTGGAAGAGAGATTAAAATAATTGCATATTTTTTTAATTCAGAGGAGTATATATTTAGTAATAAAATGGAAAAAATGGGTAGATTTTTTTAATAAAGGAAGATAATTATTTGAGAGTTATAAAAAGGAGGGGAAAGTCTATCAAACACTTTGTGATCGTGGAAGCCTTTGTGAAAGACATTAAAATAGAATTTCTTAAGAAGTTACGAAGCATTTTAGGTGTACACTTAAGCTAAACATAGCAGGCAAGTAATAGAAAAAGCCATATTCCTGTTTTTATGCATAACACTATCTGATACATAGTAGGAATTTGATATTAATAAAAATTAATGAATAATGATTCAATAATAAAATACCGTGGTATCATGTTGGATAAACATATTAGAGAGCTTTGAATTCCAGGATAGCATTTTATTTTGGTAACAATGAGGTGATATTGGCAATTTTTAATGGGAAAATAGCATCATTGAATTGCTGAGCAAATCTTTGTGCCTTTTTTAAAAAAAGTGGCTAAACAAAAAAATTATGGAATCAAAGACAATCTTTACTATCTGCTGTGAACAGTTTAGTTAAAAAGTTATGCAAATGAAGGAACCCATGATAGTGTGTAAAACTCTGCAGAAGTATTTGAAGAGTGCCAGGGCAACACCTTCCAAACCTTTTGGAGGAGAGTGGACCTTATTAATCAGACATAATGTGGGTTAAGGTTTTTCTAGAAACTCAGCAAAGAGTTATTTGATGGACTGGAACAAAAGATGGAGTCAGATACCCGTGAACATCACTTCTGTAATTTAAGATCCTGCTGAGAAGTTTTAAATGCCTGAATTAAGTGAGATTTAAGAGGATTATGCTTGATAGTTTTTTAAAGGTGTTTTTTTTTTGTGGGAGGGGCTTCGGAAAGTTTGTGCAAAAATGGAATTATACATTTATTTTGTTACAAAATATTTTCAAAGCCATGTTGTTTTTAGATTATGCCCTTTCCATAAGCTTTTAGAATGTCTCTTTTCATTGGAGAAAGTGATGATAGTTTGTGATAGTCCGTAAGACGATATTACAGGCTGGTAATTATTTTGTTTTTGATGTGTTCCATTAAAGCTAATCTCAGTACCCAACAGTTATAAGAAATTCTACATACTATTTAATGTCTCCAAACCTCCATTTCTTCATTCATGAAACAAGATTAGTACTAGTAGCTATGTTGTAGAGTAGCTATGATAATAATATGAATTGTTAAATATAGTTTACTAAGTACTTATGGGAGTGTTTAGCAATGCTATTTTTTTGTTTCTTTCCATTTGCAATTACCATTTTAGGTGACTGTTCATTTTTTTTTAGAAAGATGATGACACTGAAACAATTTCAGCTCAGTTGAGTAATTTATCTAAGATCACAAAGGCAGTAACAGAGCTGTTCAGGTTCATAATCACTGTGCAAACTATCTCTTCCTCAGATGAACACCGACAGATTGTTTACCCAATAGTGGTTACCAAAATGTTGTAAGGGAATGTAGAGTTAAAGTTAAGTGTAGCTTGGATAAAGCAACATGCCTTGGTGTTTCAGGTCCAAAGGGAGGGACTCTGAAGGGAAAATGGACAACGGGATCAGAAAGTGTAGGCTGGAGAGTGGGATAAATAGCTGGGTCAGTGGTCCAGTGACCCGGTTTTCCATCCTGTCCTAGATGCCTGTCTGGACACAGAAAATCAGCAGATGGGTAATAGACTGGAGAAAATGGGAAAGCCAAGTCACTGGAATTCTCAGTGTGGTTTAAGAGGAGATAGTGCAGGGTATAGTACTTGACATCGTTTTGACTGAAACAAGCAGACATCAACTGAAGCAAGGTGAAAGAAGAACCCTAATGTTTGGTGGGAGTATCATAAACTCTAGAATCATTGTGCTGTTAGGTGTTACAGTATGTGATGAAGGATTCACTTCATTTTGTGTAAGTAAACTGACAGTGTGATGGAGTCATTTCTGAAGATAATCTCTTTGTGTATAACTGTGTTTTGATGATCAGATCTTTGCCTTAAGTGGAGAGTCATGCCACCTTCTACTAATTATGAAGACAAAGAATTTCTTGACATGTGGATCTGTGCTAATAATCCTAACCTCTCAGAGAACAGGTAGATTTTGACAGTTTTCTGAAATTCTTTATCAATTTTTAATTTCTGATGTTCATATGTGTGAAAGTGGAAAATGTCAGCTAACAATAGATTTTCACTTTGTAGTCGGTGTCTCTTTGAACTCTGTAGATCTTGAAACCTGTGAAAAGATCATTTCATTGGTGCACTTTTCCATAAAACAAAACAAATTTGAATGTAAGCATTTGCAGACATCAGAGCACACAGCTCTGCACTTCCACTGGCACAAGAACATGACTGAATATTGGCAGTAGTATCTTTCAGTTCATTTTCACACTTCTGTCATACAGGAAGGTCATTCGCAGGTTGTCCCCAGGTGCCTTGCACTGTTAGTCCATGTGCTTTTTTTCTCGTTAGGTCATACATTGAGTTAATTGTTTTATGCTCTTGAAGGAGGACTTTCAGACTCAAACAGGAAAAAGACTGATTAAATATTGATGGATGTCAAGGCTATTATAAGCCTTTTTAGGTGAATATTATTTTCCTATAGTAAAAAAAGAATAAACACTCCCGTTTATTAAAGACAGCCCTAAGTCAAGCATTCCTCTTTCATGTAGTCAGTCCTAAGCCCTTCTGGCTGGAGAAGTAGATCAGCATTGCTAATATAGATGTTAGGAAAATAACATTTCTTTATTTTTCTGTTGTTCTGAAGACAAAAGAGTGAAAATTACATATTTAAACAAGGAAAATATTTGGTTGGTACTGCTAAAACCCCTTCTACCTTCAGTCCTCGGATTAATTATATTTCTAAACTGAAGGAAAATGTGAGAAGTAGCAAGGTGCTTGGATTTGACATGATCCAGGGTTTCTCAGCCTTCCTCCTGTTTTGTAGTCCAAGTGTGTTAGTTACAAAACCAAAGTATACAAAGCAGTTAAGTGCACAGCTGTGCTGGTTGAATTAGACCAGAAACTAGGGAACCAAAGATTTCTGCTTCCTGTTTTGCCTCCCTACACTTTTCAGAAAACTCGGAGCTCAAGGACTTAGGGTTGTATAATGCTGTTCTAGTATTAATTCTTCATATTAAAGAAATGAGAAGCAAAGCCCACTTTGTGGGAGAGAAAATCTGTCATGGAGCCACTGACTGAGACCTTGTGCCTTTTAATCTGATTACATATCTAACTTGAGACTTAGTTGTCTTCCAGATGCACTGTTACTTCATGATTTTAATTGCTGACTGTGACCTAAGAAGTTTTCTTACAGTCTGAGATCATTTTCAGTGTCTAGACTCCAGGTTTAGACTGACTGGCTGCAGTAGTTGTGAAACTCAAGACAAAAGATCAGCTCTAGGATATGTTAGTAATATCCTGGTCTCTGTCTAGCTGAGTTGCTCATTTGGGTAATATTCTGAAACTTCTGGTAACTGGGGAGTCTTCGACAGCAAATTTGGGCCACATTGGTAATATCTAACCATTTACCAATGATCTTTACCAGTCTCATATGTCATCAGACCCACAGAACAGGGAGGCTGCCCCCTAACACTTAACTTCAGATTATCATTGCCCCCTGAGTTAGCATGTTCCCTTACACTTCTCTTGAAGAGTAGCAATGCCATCACAGAGCATTGTAAAATTAGTTTCAAAACTGCGTTAATTCCATCTCTTTCACACTTTGAAATAGTGCCACTTGTGATGAGAGGCAAGGTAAATTTAGATGTGTTGGCAGAAAACTGATAGATCTTAAAAGTCTAAAATGCAGAAAGACTTGTATTTACAGTTTTGTTAACTTCTTGAATCTTAAAATACACCGTCATAATATTGACCATCTGTTCATTTCCACTGAAAAGACTGTGACAAAAATATGCATGAAGTGATACCGAGTTTTATGGCAGCAATTAAGAAAAACTCCTGATTGCAAGGCAAAGTTTATGGAGAGTTGGAGCTTCCTTTACAGAGGCCCATTACCGTTTATTTAGATACAGATTTGCAGCAAAGAATAATCGAAAATCATCTGATGACCTCATTCAGCCTGTCATTCATGTGGGTCAGGCGTGTCTTGAGAAGAGATTTTGAAAGAATTCCCTGAGACATACATGTCATTGAATTTGGTTAGTCACATAAAGTGAGCGAATTGAACTTACAAGAAGTGAGGTATAGCAACTTTATAGATAACATTCTGTGACCAGAGGAATCAGAATAGTAAGTGAGCAATGACATTTTACATATTTCCTGAAAATAGTCTGTTGCCAGCATAGTTAGTTACACATAATGAACCAGAGTTAAAAATCAATGAACAGTCTTGGATGAGTAATGTCTGTGTAACAGAACTTAGATAAAAAACCTAACTAAAGTCTGTAAGAAAATAAACCTGATTAAAAAAAAACTAAAGTTTTAAGAAATAGATCAGAAACTTAATAACTTAATCACTTTCTCATTTATAACGATGACTGATGTTTTATTCAATATTTATGAAAGTTCTATTAACTTTCCACATCTGTCATAAGATGAAGAGGCAGGGATAAGTTTAGTGACCTAGCCAGGATTTCTCCCTAGATCTGAAACTCAAGCCAGCCTTCTGGTATAAACCTGAACTTTCTGACTTTACGCTAACTCTGAGAAAACATCTTTTCAAATACATTTTAGTGCCCAAAATTCATCACTTTTTAAACTCAGGGTAGGCTAGAGGTATTCCTTCTCAAGCCACTGAAGGTTTTTTTTCCTCATAACTACAGAGAGAGACAATACATTTTTGTCGCAATACTTGAGAAGTAGGTATCAGTATGCTTTCATTACATTCATGCACTATATTTGTCTGCAGTGAAAATAAGCATTGCCAGCAGGGCAAGAATAAGGCTTGTTACTTGGCTGAGGGAAAAAAAGTCTTTTGGAAAGGTTGCTAAACAAGTGTATGGCTTGTAATGCATATTAAAATATAATTTACTTCCAGAAATCTTTAAACGAGTACAATTGATTGTTCTTTAATACTTGGAGATCTGTTTTTTGAATGAGTCCTTAATGTTTTGATAAGTTTTTTTGTTTTTCAAATGAAGCAGAAGCCAGTACAAGTCCCACACCACAGATGCATTCCAATCAGCACTCCCATCAGGCTCCATGTGCAATAGTTGTCCTTAGGATTTACTTACCTAGTGCCTTTGAAAATAACAACAGCACACACACCGTATGTGAGTAGAAGGAAGAGTTCTTCTACAGTACCACTGCAGTTGTATTTTAGTTTCTAACTTTTATCTGTTGGTAGAAGGCACACATAACATATGTTTAACTCTGAAAAGCAGAACAATAGTGAGTTTGAACTGCTTCACTTTTCCTTATTGTTTCACACGGGACAAGGCCCTTCCTCTACTCCCAGTTTCTTCCTTCTAACCTAACATACATTCATTTTTCATCAAACTTTAATCTTTTTTGGTAACTAAGCAAAATCCCCGCCCTCCCACCCCCCATGCTTGAGGAACTGACCTCAACATATATTACCCTTAGCACAGCAACCACAGCTATGCCCTGAATCAGAGCTGTGCCTAGTGGGAATTGAACTTCTCTAAAACAGAACTTATACCAAAGTGAATAAAATAAAATCTTTTCCAACAGTTTATGTAACACAACTCCCCAGAGGATAGTCATGAAAGGAAAAAAAAAATTAAAAAGCCTAAAATGGAGCTCTTGTCTTGTCATCAGCATTTTATTGTAACTAATGAATACTCATCCATAACCTTCTTATGTTCCTTTGTGCATGCTTCCTTCCACATGATTATGTGCCATAATTATCTACCTGGTTACCAGAAATGGCACATCCACAAGCCTTAGAACAGGGTAACTGCCTAATGCAGGTGCTCTAATGCCAGCATGGTGTTTGGGGCCAGTTGAGTAAAGAGATCATGGGTAACCTCAGTGCTGTCCGTCTGCTTTACCAGTCACTGGCCTTCATCTGAGGGCTGTCACCGAGTCCTGCATCACTCAGTGTGATTCTGATCATGAAGCCAAGGATGCCTGCGTTTCGCAGCAGAATGATTTTGTATATTTGCTATCCAAGTTCTTCAGGACACACTGTTTCACAGTAATGATGTAAGCATCAATTATTTTTGCAAAAGACTTTACTTCATACAGGCTAAGTGAAGCATTAGCAAAATAATTCTCTCCCATCTTCATAAAAATAAAGTATCTTCTACATTCTCTATTGAGCTGTTTTAAAACAAATTGGAGATTTAAGGTTATATATTACCCGAAGTTATCAATTCTGTGGACTTCTTTTATGTGTGAATTTTGGCAACATGAATGTGTAACTTTTCTAGAAAGAAATTATTTTATGTGGACAGTAAGTTGTTTTGTTTCTTCCTGATATTAATCTTGTACTTATTGATTGTGAAGTTGTCATCATGTAGAACATCTGCCATTCATCCCACTGGGCACCATGAGCACAATATTATCATCAGAAAATGAGAAAGAGAAGAAACTCAGAGAGTCCATTCAAAGATATCAAAACAAACTGGCAGAGCAGCTCCCACAGGTGAGTTGTTAATTCTTTCCAAACTCTGCTGTAATTCTTGAGGGGTTTCTGTGTTTCATCTGGGAAAATTGACTCATGTGGATTACCAGACAAAATGCATAGCTTCGTTCATCTACCCTTTTGGTCACCGTTTAAATTTGGATGTAAGGACTGTTTCGTAACGTAGATCCAGGGAAAGGAGGAGAGTCCTCAAGTATTTTACGTGTGATATCTAAGTCTGTCTAGTCAACAGTACCAGTGAGGGGTAGAAACATGTATTCCTACTCTAGCTGCATGTTGAGTGCCACACAGGTCAGCAGGTGTCCTCAAGTATCTACTAAAGGGCCCCACTTGAAGATGAGGTTCTTCTTAACTCATTAGTTTTTTTTTTAGTTGAAAATGAACATTATTGATAAAGAGGCCTCAATGTTAGTACAGAAAGTCAAAATCATATTTAAAGACCAGAAAGATGCAATAAATAAAATATTACTGTTAATAAACATTGGCAGGTAACCATGATAATTTCTAGGGAAGGAAATTGTTCATGCAGAAATCTAGTTTTATTTGCTTAGCCAATGAGAAGTTAAGAACTCTAGTTACCTATAGATTTAGCACCCCCATTTAGCACTTTAGAATAGGTGCAGCCAGTCAGCATCCTTAAATAACACTCATAGAAGTCAGTAGCAGGTATCCAAATATGTTGATTCTTACATAGACATCAGGATATACAGCTCTCCTTAGAATAAAAATCAGTGATGGTGACGGTGTTAAGATGCCCAGCCTGAGCACCTTATTATGTGTGTACCTAAGCTCTTAGAAGCTGAATTTTCTTCTCTATCCAAGCTATATCTCCTTTCATCTACGTTGTTGAGGATGTGTGCAGTGCAGATCAGTAGCCACCTGAGATTATAGCCTGTTCCTCTCCTTTTAGCATGGAGTGTTGGTCACTCTTGGAAAAGTTCTAAAGTCGCTATGGAAACACATTCTCTCAAGGACTCCACACCTCCAAAAAGCAGCTTACCTGTTTATAATTCATAGAGCTTCTGATCTGCATGTGAAAGAGGTCAGAAGTGAAGCTGTAATGGCTTGTGGTTATTTTAGTAAATAAACAATTGGACAAAGGAGCAAATTCAGATATTTCTTTTGCAGAGTATCTTAATTTTGTTTCGCTTTTTATTTTGTTTAGGCACTGTGGTTTCTGAAGGCATTCATACACTCACTATACACTGAATGAATTTTTCTCTTTTTAATCATCTCTGGCTGTTGCATTTTTAAAAATTTCCTTTGTAGAAGTAAAACTGACCCTTGGATATTAACAGTGTTAATTAAGAAGAATTAATTAGTTTATCTATTTAGGACTGAATGTTTCATAATGTTTCATGATGGAGATAGAGATTTTGATGAAAAGAGAGGGAGTAAAATATTTCAAGCCACCAGTTAATGCTTACTCTTTCTTTGTTGTGTTAATTTTTTCTGGTGGAAATTATGCCAGTATTAAAAATAATTCAGTATGCTTCAAATGTAAGCAAAGAAGGTTATCAGTGTTTATTAATATAAGGACATAAGACTCCTTACCATCTCCCCTTCTTCTTTTGTAAAAGAGAAATTTCACAAGAGGCTTTGGTGAACAGAATCCTATATCTTTAATATTCTGCCCAGGATTCCATGCCTGTAGCTGACCTTGTTTTGTGGCAATCAAGAAACACTTGAGAACACCATTTTCAGATCATTGAGCACATACTTGCCCTTGAGTCTGTCCATGACCAGGCTTTGTGGAACATGTGAAGTTACTAACAGCAGACTGAGACTTCAGTAAGAGCTAGGACAGTCTTGATTTTGGATGTTAATTCTGTATAACCTAAAACAGTGGCTAGACTCTATCCTAGGAAGTCAGCAGTTAATTATGGAGTGAATAAATAAAATTCACTTTTAGATAATATAGTTTCTTTGTGGATCAAGTCTAACTGCTATTTAAGAATTAACAGTGACAGCAAAACAATATTACTTCAATGCCTGCCTTATCTTAACTGAAACTATAATAGAAGTTTCTGACAAGGAGGAAAACTTGAGTCAAAAGAATTTGGTGAAGGGAAGAGGCGTTAAACTTCTGCCTTGAAATAAATTTTGGGAAAATAGAGGGCAAATGACTGGTTATCCCAAGTGTAAGGACAACATAAGGGAAGATTTCAAGTTGAGCAATGATTTGCCTCTTAAAGAACCAGGTTTTTAAAATGCATTCTAAATTTGTTTGCATAAATATGTATTTTGTATTGTCACTGTATCATACCATATGGTTTTGTAGGTACGGGATTTTCCCCTCCACCTTGCCTTTCTCACTCCTCGATCTCCCTCTGCCATCACTTTCCCCATATTTTTACAATAGTATCGGCCTTCAGTAACAGACACTACTCCAACATACTGCTATCTAAGTGTAATAGGCATTGTAGGTATAGGCAATGTTAGAAAATCTAGTATCCTATTGTCAAGGTATAGTTAGCAGTTTCTTTGGGAGTCCCCTTTTTATTCAGAAATAGAGATGAATACTGAAATGTATCTTCACTTCCCAATATGCTAGTATTCATTATACGGTTAATCCATGAGAATATATTTATATATATATCTATTTGTTTTGCATTTTGCATGCAGATTGTTGCATTCTATCCTAGAGACCGAATAGTGTTTGTCCTTGTGGGATTTCCCGTTTTACTGAGAACAGTGGTCTCCAGTTGGGATAATTTTATTGCCAATGGCGGAAGTCCATTCTTTTTGATGGCTGAGTAGTACTCCATGCAGTAGGTGTACCACCATTTTTTTTATCCATTCCATCTTCAATGGGCAACTGGGTTGTTTCCATGTCTTTGCTGTTGCAGATTCTGCTCTTATAAGTATAGGATTGCAGGTTGCTTTTTCATATGCAAATCTCACTTACTGCGAGTAGGATAGCTGGATCATAGTACATACATTTTCAGTTGTCTGAGCACTCTCCATACAGACTTCCATTCGCTACACTAACATATGCTTCCATCTCAAGTGGAGTAGAGTACCTTTTTACTTCATATTTATTTGCTTATAGATTTCTTAATGTAGGCCAATCTCACTAGAGTTAAGTGAAACCTTAATGTAGTTGCTATTTGTAATTCTCCAATAGCTAGGGGCCTGAGATTTTTTTGTATGTCTACTAGCCATTTGAAATTATTCATTTGAAAAATGCCTGCTCATTTCATTTCCTTTACCCGCAAAACAAATTGGGTTGTTTTGCTGTTGTTGAGTTCCTGAAACTCTGTGAATCCTGCATGTTAATCCCCTGTTGTGTAGCATACAAAGATTTTCTCCCATTCTGTTGGTTGCTTCTTTACTTTGTTGATCATATGCTTTGTGTACAGAAGCTTCGTAGTTTGAGGTAGCCCCATTTATTTTATTTATTTGATTTTAGTGTTGTCTGCCTATGTTTTTGGTGGCTTTTCTAAGAGTTTTTTTTTTTAAACCAGTTCCATATCCAGAGAAAGTGCTTCCTATGCTTTCCTCTAAAGTCTGATGGCTTGTAAGTGCAGCTTTGGGTTCTTGATCCATTTAGAGCTGATTTTTTTATAAGGTGACAGGTGGCGGGGGTGGTTTTTGCTTCTTACCTCTACAGACAGCTATTCAAATACCATTTGTTGAAATCAATAAACTTTTGCCTAGGGTTGTTTTCAGTTCTATTGTCCAAGATTAGTTGGCTGTGTGGTCTCTTATGGGTTTTCTGTTCTGTTCCATTGATCTTCTCTGTTTCTGTACCAGCACCAGATTATTTTGATTACCCTTGCCCTGCACTCTATCTTAAGGTTTGGAACTGTGATTCCTCCAGCTTGATTTTTATTCTTCATGATAGCTTTGGTATTTATGTTTCTTTTTTTTTTTTTTTTTTTTTTTTTTTATTATTGTTGCTTACATTGTATTGTGTAGTACAGTTTCATAGGCGCTGGGGATTCCCCCCACCCCTCCCATACCCCTCCCCCCATGGTGGATTCCTCCACCTTGTTGCATAACCATAGTTCAAGTTCGGTTGAGATTCATTGCTTGCAGACACATGCCTAGCATAAAGTTCAGCGTCTTATTGTCCAGATAAGTTCAGTGGCCTCTTGGGGAGACCTTCTATGGTCTGAAAATAGGTCTAACAGAGTAAAGATCCAGTCAGTTAAAAGCCCCAACGAGGCCACAGTATCAATATACAACATTATGGAATTAATTGACATAGTATTGGGTAAACAATATGTTAAAAATAATGCAAGTTCCCTTCTTCGAAACATCTGGGTTGAGACAGTATCAATGACAGGTTCAAAAAAAAAAAAAAATAACAAACAACCAAACAAAAAATTACAGGTTAAATCAAGGCAAACATGTGGTATCTAATCTTTTGGGATTCGCTCATTTCCCTTAGCATTATAGTTTCCAGTTGTACCCATTTAGCCACAAAGAACTGCATTTTGTTTTTTTTAATAGCTGAGTAGTATTCCATGGAGTAGATGAACCAAAGCTTTCTTATCCAATCTTCTGCTGATGGGCATTTCGGTTGCTTCCATGTTTTTGCAATTACTGATTGTGCTGCAATGAACATAGGGATGCATGTTGGTTTGTCGTAAAACAGGTGTTTTGGATATATTCCTAGGAGTGCTATTGCTGGGTCATATGGTATGCAGATTTTGAGTTGTTTGAGTGTTCTCCAGACTGATTTCCATAAAGGCTGTACCAATTTGCAGCTCCACCAGCAGTGGAGTAGGGTTCCCTTTTCCCCGCATCCTCGCCAGCAAGCGTCGTTGGTGTTCTTGTTTATGTGGGCCAATCTTACTGGTGTTAGGTGGTACCTCATCGATGTTTTAATTTGGATTTCCCTTATTGCTAGGGAGCTGGAACATTTTTTCATATGTTTGTTTGCCATTTGGACTTGTTCCTTTGTGAAATGTTTGCCCATTTCCCGTGCCCATTTCTTGAGTGGCTTGTTTGTTTTGGTTTTTTGGTTGTTTTGAAGTTCTTTATATATCCTG